TGAACCCAGGAGGAGGAGGTTGCAGTAAGCCAAGATTGTGCCACTGCACTGCAACCTGGGTGAAGAGCAAGACTCTGTCTCAAAAAAAAAAAAAGATGTATGATTAAAATGTATTAGATATCTACCTGAGGCCTCCTGTACATTTTCATTACTCTTCCATTATCAATAGATCAATCTTGTTTGGGCTATGTAACTTCTTTAGAGAATCTGATATTCTACATAGGTGAACTCTAAACTCAACAAAGTGATGACCTACTATGACCCCAATCATCGTTGAAGAAACAAAGTTGCTTACCAATAAATTACTTCTCCGAAGTGTTATATTTAGGGCACTCTCCCAAAGTTATGAAATATCACCACCACATTCTAGCTCTCCAATCTATAGTGTAACTTGATTATTTATTTAAAGAGGGAAAGTAGCAGCATCTTTTTTTTCTAATGTTCAAAATGAACCAAACTAAAGTAGACTTTTAAAGGGCAAGAGAGATTTGACTATTAAATAATAAAATAAATGGCCTCAGAAAATTAAATGGACACTGTTTTCTCAGAAATTTAACAATATTGGCTATGTTATATGGTTTGGGCATTTTCCTGCCATAGGCTCATTTAGTATCTATTTACTGAGAACTTACTAAAAACAAAAAGAAAAGAGTATCTTCCTTTGAGGGTGCCCATACTATAATTAGTAAGGAAATAAGAAACCACAATGAAAGGTAATTATAAAACTGTTCAATGGCTAAGGATGGTAGCACATGCCTGTAATCCCAGCTACTCAGGAGGCTGAGGTCAGAGGTTCTCTTGAGCCCAGGAGTTCAAGATCACCCTGAGCAATATACTGCTCATCTCAAATTTAAAAAAAAGAAAAAAAGCCAGGCGTGGTGGCTCATGCCTGTAATCCCAGCACTTTGGGAGGCTGAGGTGGGCAGATCACAAGGTCAAGAGATCAAAACCATCCTAGCCAACATGGTAAAACCCCATCTCTACAAAAAATACAAAAATTAGCTGGGCGTGGTGGCATGTGCCTGTAGTCCCAGCCACTTGGGAGGCTGAGGCAGCAGAATTGCTTGAACTTGGGAGACAGAGGTTGCAGTGAGGCGAGATGGTGCCACTGCACTCCAGCCTGGTAACAGAGTGAGACTCCGTCTCAAAAAAAAAAAAAAGAAAAGAAGAAAAAACCTGTGTATAAAGTAATACAACATTTAAATCTGTTACACTTAGGTGATACAGCAATGAAAAATAAAGGAATGTTCAGTACAGAAATGGATTAGTCAGAAAAGGCTTCTTGGAGTTGCTAACAAACACTAATAAAGAAAAATAAACCTTAACAGCAAAAGCAGAGGGAAGAAAATAACACACAAAACACAAAGAAAGAATGACTGCAGACTTCTCATCCAAATTATATAACGAAGAAGACAATGGAAAAATATCTGAAAAGTGCTAAAGGAAAAAAAATTGTAAATCAAGAATTTTATACCCAGCAAACATATCCATCAACAAAGCAAAATCTTAGAAAATTTGTTGTCAGCAGACCTGTACTATAAAAATTGTTAAAGTGAGTTCCTCAGGCAAATATAATATAAAATCTGTTCAAAATCTGGATCTTCACAAAAGCATAAGGAGCAAATAAACTGGTAAATATACAGGAACATACAAAATATTTTTATTATTTTAAAATTTCTTTTAAAAAATAACTAAAAACATTATTTTGTTCAAAGCAAAAATAATGCTAATGAACTATGGAATTCAAAACATGTGTATAAGTAAAATGTAATTAACGATAATTCAAAGATCAATGGGTGAAATGAAAATATACTGTTTTAAGGATTGTATGTTATACATAAAGACGTATAATAGCATTTGAAAACACATTGGGATAACTTAAAGATGCATACTGTAAACCCTAAAGTAACCACTAAAAACAAACAAAACAAAACAAAAAACACTAAGAAGGTATACCTAACAACGGAATCTTTAAAAATATTTAGTTGTTCTAATTCAGTTAAGGAGAATATGAAATGAGAAATAAAGGGAAAAAAAAAGATGAGACAAACAAAAAACAAACAGCAAGATAACAGAGTTAAACCTAGTCATATAGGTAATTATGTTAACATAAATTATTTCCTCTTTTCCTGTTTTCTTTATAATTAATTGAGTATACTTCCATTTCCCCCTTCCTGTATTTAGAGCTGTTGTTGTCATTCCTTTGTATAGTACCTTGGTGTTGTTTTGTTGTTTATGTTTATCCTGCTCAAGGAGTTCTTTGAGCTTCTTGAATTTCCATTCCTGTTTTCCAGAGAAAGTCAATTGGAACGTGTTCTTTCTTTTTTTTTTTTTTTTGACAGGGTCTCACTCTGGCACCCAGGCTGGCGTGCAGTGGTACGATCTTGGCTCACTGCACACCTCCCAGACTCAAGGGATCCTCCTGTCTCAGCCTCCCAAGTAGCTGGGACTACAGGTGCATGCCACCATGCCCGGGTAATTTTTGTATTTTTTGGTAGAGATGGGTTTTCACCATGTTGGCCAGGTTGGTCTCGAACTCCTACCTCAAACAATCTGCCCTGCCTCAGCCTCCCAAAGTGCTGGGATTACAGGCATGAGCCACCACACCTGGCCCAATTTGAACTTTTATAAATGTTTCCATTTTTAATTTTTGAGAAGTAAGCCCATATCTTCAAATAATATAATATTGACTGGGCACAGTGGCTCACACCTGTAAACCCAGCAGCTTGAGAAGCCAAGGCAGGCAGATTGCTTGAGCCCAGGACTTTGAGACCAAACTGGGCAACATGGTGAAACCTTTTCTCTACAAAAAATACAAAAATTAGCCGGGTGTGGTGGCATGCCTGTAGTCCCAGCTACTCGGGAGGCTCAGGTGGGAGGATCACTTGAGCCCAGGAGGTCAAGGCTCCAGTAAGCTGTGATTGTACTACTGCACTCCAGCATGGGCAATAGAGCGAGCCCTTGTCTTAAAAAGATAATACTGCCATTTTCCCTTTATCCATTGAGATATTGTCTATTTCCTATTATAACTGATCAAAAATTACCTCATCATACCATATCATTCCTTTTCCTCTCCTCTCAATACTTATATATCCCTTTTTGTTTTTCTAAAGATTGCTTTTGTAATATAAATAATATAGTTATGCTTTTGTTTCTTGTATTACTAACAACAGATTATCTTGATTCCCAACTATGCAAAATGAAGCATTACCTCCCCCTTTTTTTTTTTTTTTTTTTTTTTTTTTTTTTTTTTTTTTGAGACAGAGTCTCACTCTGTTGCCCAGGCTGGAGTGCAGTGGTGTGATCACAGCTCACTGTAGCCCTGACCTCCCAGGCTCAAGCAATCCTCCCACCTCAGCCTGCAGAGTAGCTGAGACTATAGGCATGTGCCACAACACCCAGCTAATTTTTTCATTTTTTGTAGAGATGGGATCTCACTATGTTACGCAGGTTGGTCTCAAACTCCTGGGCTCAACCAATCCTCCTCGGCCTCCCAAAGTGTTGGGATGACATGCATGAGCCACAGTGCCTGGCCCCCTTACTTTCTCTTTATATCTTTTCCTTACTTTCCCCAAATGTGGAAATGAATTTTACACTGATAAAGTTGATAAACACATATATTCTGTTCTATAATCCTAATTGTTTTTCATAGATGGCCCATACTTTATGTTTGCAAACAAATAACATTTGCATTATTTTAACTATACAAATATTCTTCACTTTTAAGCCAGATTGTCTACTAATATTGCCATTCCTTCCTGGCTGGAATCCCTTTGTCTGTAAATCTCTTTCTTGAAATTCTCGTTTCTTCTGCTCCAATCTAAAGTGATACTCCCAGCCAGGTATGGTGGCTCACACCTATAATCCAAGCGCTTTGGGAAGCCAAGGTGGGAGGATTACTTGAGCCCAAGAGTTCATTACCAGCCTGAGCAACATGGTGAGACCTCATCACTACAAATATATATATATATACAAATTTTTTTTTACTTAATAAGGTACCTTCCATTTAGGAAGAAAAATTTTTTAAAAATTAGCTGGGCATGGTGGCACATGCCTGTAGTCCCAGCTACTTGAAAGGCTGAGGCAGGAGGATAGCTTTAGACCAAGAGTTCAAGACTATAGTGAGCTCCAGTACACTCCAGCCAGGGCAACAGAGCAATACCCTCTCTCTCAAAAAATTTAAAATAAAAATAAATAAACGAATGCTTCTCCAGGTCTTCTGCATACCTGTTTATGATATTCTTTCCTGACTGACTAACAGAACCGCTCAGGCAGTCAGGCGCGGTGGCTAACGCCTATCATCCCAGCACTTTGGGAGGATGAGGTGGGCGGATCAGCTGAGGTCAGGAGTTCAAGACCAGCCTGGCTAACATGGTGAAACCCCCCTCTCTACTAAAATACAAAACTTAGCCAGGCATGATGGCAGGTGCCTGTAATCACAGCTACTGGGGAGGCTGAGGTGAGAGAATCGCTTGAACCCGGAGGTGGAAGTTGCAGTGAGCCGAGATTGCGCCATTGCACTCCAGCCCGGGTGACAGAGCAAGATTCTATCTCAAAAAAATGAAAACAAAAACAAAAAACAGAACTGCTCCAGCAACCAGAAATTAAGGGAACAAAACACTGGAGAAGAGGGAAATAGTAAGAATGGGTCAGCTAATATTCTTCAGTCACTTTTTCTCCCTCAAGGTAAATACCAAATCTGCATTCAAGAGGCTGAAGTTCCCAGTAAAGGGAACAAGCAGAAAGCCAAGACCGAAAGGCAGGAAAATCAGCTTTTGACAGTTTTAGAGAACCCTGGTACCTTAAATTAGAGGCATACAAGGTTAGAATCCTGAAGAGGAAAAATGGGAAGAGAACATAACACTTATTTTCTCAACACATTTGCTGAATTCTTACGCTACACAAGGAGAGAGGTTAAGATAAGCAAAAAGACTCAGAGAAGCCAACAGAATGTTAGCTAGTCTTGAGGTATAAAGGAAAGAAAAGAATTAAGGATTTACCAAGGGAAGAGCTCCTAGTCATCACTCCAGGCTCTTTGGAATGTCTGGAGGACTACAGCATAAGGCAGTAATGAGCCAGAGACAGTCACACCCTGACTAAAGGTGAACCCCAGATTTAGCCAGCTCAGTCGTTGACTGGATTAAATATTGCCATACCATCTGCCTTACCAGAAACTGGGGGCAGAGGGGAGGGACCTTCACTTAAGGAAGAAAACACCATCCAAAACCTCCACAATTTTTTTAATGTCTATTCAGTCCAAAATTACCAGGCGTGCCGAGAGAAGAGATTCACAGATGATCTAAATGTTGAACTTAACAAATAAGAACTTTTAAAATGGCTATGATTAATATGACAAGAAAAGAAGAAAAGAACAAAACAGATGAAAAGATGGAGAATTTCACTACAGCCTTACAATTTGTTTTTTTATTATAAAACTGGAGAAAACTCAGAACTGGGTTTTAAAAATTCAGAAGTCTATAAATTGTTTACCAGCAAATAAGTCAATTGAAAAAATCCACATTGAGGTTGGGCACGGTGGCTCACGCCTGTAATCCCAGCACTTTGGAAGGACGAGGCAGGTGAATCATTTGAGGTTAGGAGCTGGAGACCTGGCCAACATGGTGAAAACCCGTCTCTATCAAAAATGTAAAAATTAGCCAGGCACAGTGGTGCACGTCTGTAATCCCAGCTACTCGGGAGGCTGAGGCACAAAAATCGCTTGACGCCGGGAGGCGGAGGTTGCAATGAGCCGAGATCACCACTGCCCTCCAGCTTGGGTGACAGACTGAGACCCTGTCTCGGAAAAAAAAAAAAAGAAAAAATATCCACACTGAAGCACAAAGAGAATAAGGAAAGGAAAGGATGTAAAATACAGAAGAATGTAAGAAAAATGAAACATGGACACCATCAAAAGCCTTCAGCCAGCAGTTCTCAAAACTTTTTGCCTGGCACTATTTTTATGTTCTAAAAAATATTGAGTTTCCTGGCCGAGTGCAGGGGCTCACGCCTGTAATGCCAGCCCTTTGGGAGGCTGAGGCGGATGGATCACCTGAGGTCAGGAGTTCGAGACAAGCCTGGGCAACATGGTGAAACCCCGTCTCTACTAAAAATACAAAAAATTAGCGGGGTGTAGTGGTGGGCGCCTGTAATCCTAGCAACTGGGGAGGCTAAGGCAGGAGAATCGCTTGAAACCGGGAGGCGGAGGTTGCAGCGAACCAAGATCACGCCATTTCACTCCAACAAGAGCAAAACTCCGTCTCAAATATATATATATATCCCTTGGGTTTCCCAAGAACTTTTGTATATGTGTTATGTTTGTTGACATTAGCCACATTAAAAATTGGAACTGAGCCAGGCACAGTGGCTCACGCTTGCAATCCCAACACTTTGGGAGGCCGAGGCTGGCGGATTGCTTGAGACTAGGAGTTTGAGACCAACCTGGGAAACATGGCAAAACCCCATCTCTACAGAAAAATTAGCCAGGCGTGGTGGCATGCACCCGTGGTCCCAGCTACTCAGGAGGCTGAGGTTGCAGTGAGCAGAGATGAGACCACTGCACTCCAGCCTGGGAGATAGAGAGGCCTTGTTTTTTTTTTTTTTAAAAAAAAAAAAAAAAAAGCCAAGTGCAGTCGCTCAAGCTCATAATTCCAGAACTTTGGGAGGCCAAGGCAGGCAGATCGCCTGAGGTCAGGAGTTCAAGACCAGCCTGGACAACTATGGCGAAACCCCGTCTCTACTAAAAATATAAGAGTTAGCTGGGCATAGTGTCGCAGGCCTGTAATCCCAGCTACTCAGGAGGCTGAAGCAGGAGAATCACTTGAACGCGGGAGGCAGAGGTTACAGTGAGCTGAGATCATGCCTCTGCACTCCAGACTCTGGCGTGGGGGACAGAGTGAGAAAGGGAAGGCAGGAAGGCAGGAAGGCAGGAAGGCAGGAAGGAAGGAAGGAAGGAAGGAAGGAAGGGAGGGAGGGAGGGAGGGAGGGAGAAAGAAAGAAAGAGAAACTGAAGAATAAATTAAATAAAAGAACATACAAGTATAAATAATATTCACCACTGAAACAATGATATTTTCATATCATGCAGCCTCTAATAAACTCAATTCTATTCCCCTAGGAGAAAGCAAGCTTTTTTATTTTTTATTTATTTTTTTTTTGTTTTGAGACAGAGTTTCGCTCTTCTTGCCCAGGCTGGAGTGCAATGGTGCGATCTCAGCTCACTGCAATCTCCGCCTCCCGGGTTCAAGCGATTCTCCTGCCTCAGCGTCTGGAGTAGCTGGGATTACAGGCATGTGCTACCATGCTTGGCTAATTTTGTATTTTCAGTAGAGACAGGGTTTCTCCATGTTGGTCAGGCTAGTCTCAAACTCCAGACCTCAAGTGATCTGCCTGCCTCAGCCTCCCAAAGTGCTGGGATTACAAGCGTGAGACACTGTGCCCAGCCTAAGCTTTTTTTTTTTTTTTTTTAAGTAAATAACGTCTAACTGATATTGTGAAAATATTTTTAAATCTGTAACTCCCCTGAAAGAAATTTTATCATTGTATAATTGGGCAGATGCAATACTTAAAGACATCATAGCCAAGTATTTCTAAAAACCTATGAAAGATATTAGTCCATAGTTTCAAGCCCTATAAACCCAAAGCATGATGAATGTAAAGAAAACTATACTTGGCCAGTCATGGTAGTTCACACCTGTAATTCCAGCACCTTGGGAGGCTGAGGCAAGAATATTACTTGAAGCCAGGAGTTCAAGACTGGGCCTGGGCGCCAAAGCTAAACCCTGTCTCTACAAAAAAAAATTAGCCAGCCACAGTGGCATGTGCCTATAGTCCCAGCTACTTGGGATTAGGCAAGTTCTGGAGATAGGTGGCAGTATTGGTTACAGAAAAATGTGACTATACCTAATGCCACTGAACTGTACCCTTAAAAATGGTTAAAATGGTAAAGTATATGTTATGTATATTTTACCGCAATTTTAAAATAAGGTGAAATACAGACATTACTCATACAAACAAAATAAATGAGTCCTTCACTAAAAGAAATGCTAAAAGGAGTTCTGCATATAAAAGGAGAAGTGACCTTAAAATGAAGCACAGAGATGGAGGAGGAAATGAAGAATCAAACAAAAGAGTAAACATATATGAATGGTGACTCTACGAAATAATAAGGAAAATGTTCTGTGGGAACAAAATTACATGTAAAATTAAAATTCATGACAACAGTGTAAGACATGGGAAAGGATAAATGAAAAAGTATTACATATTCCTAGCAGTGTCAAGGAAGTGACAAAAATATTAATTTATATTACGCTTTAATGAGTCAAGGATACATGCTGAAATTCTTTGAGTAATGTCTAATGATTAAAAAAGGAAAGGCCGGGCCCAGTGGCTCACACCTGTAATCCCAGCACTTTGGGATGCCAAAGCGGGCAGATCACCTGAGGTCAGGAGTTCGAGACCAGCCTGGCCAATATGACAAAACCCTGTCTCTACTAAAAATGCAAAAATTAGGGGAGAGTGGTGACACGTGCCTGTAATCCCAGCTACTCAAGAGGTTGAGACAGGAGAATCGCTTGAACCCTGGAGGTGGAGGTTGCAGTGAGCCAAGATTGTGCCACTGCACTCCAACCTGGGCGACAGAGCAAGACTCCATCTCAGAAATAAAATAAAATAGGAAGAAGAAGAGTCAGTAGACAGCCAAAAGTAATAATAATAAAGAATAAGCCCTTAGGGAAAAAGAAAAACCAGCAAGTATCAGACTTCTCCACAGCAACATTGAATACCAGAAGACAAGATGCTCAAGGAAACAAAACATGAGCCAAGAATTTTAATTTCAACCAAGCTAGCCTTTGAATATAAAGTCTATAGAGCTAAAATTCAAATATACAATGACTCAAAAATTGTTGCTCACATAAGTCCTTCTTAAGGCAACTACTAGAGGAAGAACTCAAACCCAACTAGATGACAGGGAAAACTTCAATAAAAAAAGCACATCAATGAAGACTGAATATATTTAACTGCAACTCTAAGACAAAAACAAAGTCAGATTAAAAGTGATCAAGTATGATACATAAAAATAGTACATAAAAAGTATACACCTAAGAAAAAAAAGAGAGAAGATGGAAAGTAGAATAAGCTAGTCAACTGTCTCATACCAGTAACTGTGAGTCAAAGCTAGGCAAATCAACTACAGGTCTACAATCCCTAATCGAAAATCCTTGTAGCAAAATGTTTCACAATACCAAATTCCGTACATTTAAAAAAAATAGAGCTCATTTGTCACATATTATGTAACATCCCAGTAAGATCTTAAGAAGCATTCCATAATCAAACACATTCATATTTCAGCAGGAAAATATAGGAATATTCAAAAAAGTGATAAATATAAAGATTATTAATATATTAAGTCAGCTCACATCAGGTTTTCTTGCCAAATGAATTAAGGCAGGTTTTGACACCAAATAGTTTTTAGAGCCTTTAGGATTTGGGGATTACAAATGAGAGATTAGGGGCCAAATTAAGTATGCTTGACTACAAAGTAAAGCACTAAGATAATACTATTCCCTGATATTTAATGCTAAGAGGAAGGAATAAGACAAGAGTACACAAGTTAAGTTTCATTGTTGCCCTTGGGTGAGAAACCAGTAAATATTACATTTAGAGAGAGAGAGAGATCTGAGGATGCAATACAAAGGAACCACAAGAACAAAAATACAATTTTTTAAAAATTCAAAGAAAAAAAGTAGGCCATTAGATATGGCTTCATGGTACTGTCTTCCCCCTCACCCCCAGAAATATTATTTCACCTGACACTGTTTTTTTTAATGATTATAGTGCTCTAAATTTCCAACTTACTACGCTTGGAAGAAACAACTGCTGATGAGCATAAAGTCACTAGGGGGCAGCAGAGCATAAAGAGTATCCCCTGAAAAGTGGTGACAACTACAAAGTTATTACATAACCAGAAGTGTCTTCAACTGCTGAAAACATTTCAGTCATCACAAGCACAATAAAACATTCGTCAATTAATTTGTAAACATTGCTTCTAAGATATTCATTATATTACTTTATGATTGTAATTTTTATTTTGAAATAACTTCACATTGCACAGAGAACTCTTGTATAGCCTTTATGCAGGGTTCACTAATTTTTGCCATATTTGTTTTATCATTTTCTTCCTACATATATATGTATATGTATGTTTATTTTTCTAAACCATTTGTAAGTAGGCTTCATATATCATGCCTGTAAAACTATAGTGTGTACCTCCTCTCTTACATAATGATAGTACCATTATCAAATTCAAGAAATTTACATTGATACAATTATAATCTAATCCACAGTCCAAATTCCAATTTTGAAGATCATCCCAATAATACTCTTTAGAGCATTTTCATTTCCTACTGGAAAGTATCCAGTCTAAGATCATGAATTACATTTTGTTGTCATGTCTCTTCAGTTTCTTTTTATCTAAACTAGCAGTTTCACCAAATTTATGGACAAAAAACCACCCTACATTATTAAAAATTACTGAGAGGCTGGATGTGGTGGCTAACAT